GCGGCTCCAGTGGCGCCTTCTGAGGCAGCGGTGGGGAACGTCTGCCCTGCCAGGGCCTTAGGGTGAGTTAATGAAATGTTTGACCAATGCAGCCGCTAATGTTTGAGTGGGTGGTTTTACATGGCCCAGATGATGTGGTAAATATCCAGATGGCCCGGGCAGGAAAGAGGCTCCCCCCTGCTTTGGGGCTGGCACGTGCACTTCCAGGTGAGCCGACCCCAAGAAAGGAAGAGTCCCCCAAACTCCCCAGGGGCGTGGCCCTTCTCGGCTGATTGGTGGTTTGTCTCCTTGAGGCATTTGTTTTGTTTTGCCCTACTCTGCACTTAGTGGAGAGAGGAGATTTCCGAGTTCTGTCCATTCCAGAAAGAAAAACCCTCTTGTGTTTCCAGATGGGCAAGATACACTCTTTCTAGAACAAAGCAGGGCTAAAAATAGTCCCCTCTGACAGTGACGAGGGCGCAGGCAGGGTCCTGGCCTCAGGCTCCCTGCTCCCGTGGCTGTTCAGAAGCCGGGAGCTGTCAGGCTCTGAGCTGGGCCTCGGTTTCCGCATCTGCCAGGGGCTCGGTGACGGCACCTGGCCAGGGGCGTTGGTGGGAAGATCACAGAGTGAGCGCTGGCTCGGCCCCCGCTCCCTGGCTTCCTGTGAGTGACTCAGCCGCACCTGGCCTCACATCCGCTTCCTCCCATTGTCCGCGTTTCCAGCGCATTTCCAGCCGAGGTGTGTCCGGGCAGGGCCCTCACCCCGAGCGGGGACCGGGCGGCATGCTTCCCGGGGAGCTGCCCTCCAGGCTTCCGTGCTCGCTGTCACTCGGCCCCCAGCCCGAGAGGTGTTCTGATGGGGAGCCAGTCCTCAGGTTTTATCTCACAATAATCCTACAGCGACTTTCTCTTTTGTTAACATTAACTTTTTAATTGTAGTAAAATATATATAAAGTAAAACTTGCTATTTAAAAGTGTACAGCTCGCCCTGGCCGGTTTGGCTCAGTGGATAGAGGGTCTGCCTGCGGACTGAAAGGTCCCGGGTTTGATTTTGGTCAAAGGCATGTACCTTGGTTGTGGGCACATCCCCAGTGGGGGTGTGCAAGAGGCAGCTGATCGATGTATCTCTCTCATTGACGTTTCTACTCTCTCTGTCCCTCTCAATTCCTCTCTGTGTAAAATCAATAAAATATATATTTTTTTAAATAAATAAAAGTCTACAGCTCAGTCTGTCTTCACTCTTTACTTGAGGAATTTAAAATGCTTGAGAGAAGCTGCTTGTGGAAAGAATTTACACCCCAGATGAAGTAAGAAATCTTCCCTTTAGAATCTAACATATTTGGCTGAAACTATCATTTAAAATATATATATATTAGGCAGTGTTTGGGGTTGTTCGTTGTTTGTTTTTAATCCTCACCAATCTGCTATTTTTTTCCCATTGACTTTAAAGATAGTGAAAAAGATGGAGGGGGGGAGAGGGAGAGAGAAACATTGACACATCAATGTGGGGAGTGAACCTGGGAATTGAACTCTCAACCTTTGGAGTGGGGGAGCAACTTTCGTACCACGGAGCAGCACAGGCTGGCCAGAGCTGTTAGGCAGTGTTTTAGTTTTTAGTTTCTAAACACAGTGTCCTGTGATTCCAACCAGTGGAGAAAGTTGAAATCCGAAACTCCTGACCCATATTCTAGGTGTAACTGACAGTTCACTCATTATTTCTGCTAACAATCACTGCTCAAAGTAGTTGGGCGCTGACCTTTTCTGGTGAAATACAGGCTGAATTCAGACTAAGGGCACTGCCTGCGGGGGAGGGCAGGCGTAAGGACAGATGGTCTTGAGGACACTCAGCAGATTGGAGCGATCGGAGCAGAGGAAGGAAGGGAAGAGTCCAGAGGCTCCTTGTCCCTCCTCCAGGGAGGTCTCAGTGGCAGCGAGGCGCCTGTGCCAGCAGGAGCACGGCCGCCCTGTCCTCCCGGGGCTGGCAGATCTGCACCAGGAAGCTCAGCTGACACTCACTCTGCCAGGCCTCGGACCCACCTGAGGGAACCCTTGGGCTGCGTTCATTCAGCTGCGCGGCCGCCAGGGCATGGGGTCAGCACGGGGACGCAGTGTAGAATCAGCAGTGCTCGGGGCCTGGGATCTTCCACCCTCGTCCCTCCCTTCCTGACAGAGCTGCTGCTGCCGTGCGCCCCGCACTCAGTACTGGCTGCTTTTGTTTTCTTTGTTTTGTTTTTTAATGATTTGGGAAGGGAAGGGAGAGAGGGAGAGAAACATAGACCAGTTGCCTCACACACTGTGGTTGGAACCACAGCTGGGTATGCGCCCTGCCTGGGACTCTGACCGGCGGCCCCTCGGGGCAGCCACCCTGGCCAGGGCCCTCAGTGCTGACCGTGAGAGCGGCAGTGCTTACACCCTTCGGATTTCCCCTTCAGGTCAGCAGTGGACAGGGAAACCTTCCAGACTGCCATTTTCTCCCGAAGGCCCTGGCCAGTGTGGCCGTGGAGCAGCATAGAGCGTTTGCTTGTTTCCCACCAGCTCGCCATAACATGGAGCGGCTTCCTTCCTCTGGTCCTCAGTGTCTGTGCCGTGAGGAAGCTGGGGGGGGGGGGTCTAAGATGCCTTCCGTGCTGCCAGGGGCCCTGCGCCTCCCATCGAGGTGATGTGGCGGATATAGGGATCGGTGGTGGTGATGGTGAAGGGAGTACTAATAGCGTTAATAAGTGACCAGTCGAGAAACCTGTCACTTGTACCTAAAAAAGCCACTGAGAAATGTAGGGACATCTCCCAATGTGTGCCATTTTTTTCAGAACTTCTCATCATGCTGCAGTCTGGCTGCCATCTGTCAGACTTCCTACCCTTAGTCCTTTTTCTTTTTTTTAATATATTTTATTGATTTTCCACAGAGAGGAAGGGAGAGGGATAGAGAGCTAGAAACATCAATGAGAAACATCGACCAGCTGCCTCCTGCACACCTCCCACTGGGAATGTGCCTGCAACCAAGGTACATGCCCTTGATCGGAATCGAACCTGAGACCCTCCAGTCCGCAGGCCAATGCTCTATCCACTGAGCCACCCCGGTTTCGCTTACCTTTCGTCCTGAGCGCTTGCCTCGTGCTGAGGCCTCTGCACACGGAGCTCATCGGTCCTTCCCTCCAGCAGCCGGTTTTCCACGAGGGCCTGAGACTCAGCAGCTCACCCGGGTGACCTGTTGTGAGGTGTAGGCACTCCTGCTTCCCTTCATCTTCATCACTTCCCTTTTGTTTCGTTTTTTCTTTCTTCCTAGGTGTGCCCCTGGCACCAAAATAGAGGTTTGCCAGCTCCTGGTCTGGATGATTGGTAGAGCTTACCTGACATCCATATGAAGGCCAGACTGTCCCCCAGACCGGAGTTGCCTCGCTCCGTGCACACTCGGTAGAGCAGGGAGCTCCTCGTTTGGGTGCTCGCAGAGAGGCTGGGTGGCCGCGTCTTGGCTGTTTTAGCATGTTCTGCGTTACCTGGGGTGGGCGTGCCACCCGCCGGGATCCCTCCTGGAGGTATGACTGATGTGCGCAAGCACTTGGCAGCGGCCGAGATGCATGATGGGTCTTAACTTAGTCCCGGCCCCTGGGCCGCTGGCCTTGCACCCAGATCGGCTGCCAGGCGAGGCTGGAAAGGGGTGTCTGATAGGATTTGCACATGCTCAGTTTGGAGAGTCCTTGGGACCACTGAGTCCACACCATCCGCTGAGGCCCGGAGCGTGGAAGGCAGAGTTGAATGGGCTCCCAGTGTTGCCCGCAGAGCCCAGTCTGCAGGGACCTGTCCTAAGATCTTCACCTGCCAACGAAGGGACAGCAGGACGTGCTGTTCACTCACTCCGTCCGTCCCGTTGTTGACCAGATTGAACCAGTGAACTTCGAACAGTGCCGAGCACAGAGCAGTGTCTGACACGCTGGCTGAGTGAAGACGTGACTCCGGCATCCTCGGGGGCGAGCCCTCACACTGCTGTCTTGGCTGTGACGTTATACCACCACCGCCTGCAGTAAATCTGCCAATCGCCCCCTGCTCAGCTCCACCGTGGGGCTGCCCCCTCTGGGCCCGGGCTGCCAGGGTCCTTCCCAGCTCGTCCTCCGCTCTGTGGCTGCACCCAGTCAGAGCCTCGGGTCAGCACGGAGAACGAGGCTCACACTGACACTGCTCCCCAGATCACACCCTGTGGGAGGAGGTCACGCCGGCCCGGGGAGACGCCGTGGGCAGCAGGCTCTTGAAGCACCAAAACTTGCTTTCGCCCTCCCGCCCCCATGTCGGGCACCACTGCCCCTCCCTGTGCTGCTTCAGCTTGGCTGCTCTTCACTCCAAGAGCAACAGCTGGAAGACCCAAAAACAGACCAGGCCTGCCTGTCGCTCAGTGTAGCAGTGCAATGTCCTCTGCTCCCCTCCCTGCCCCAAGCTGCTGCCCGTGCCCAAGCCCCCCGGCTCCAGGCCCAGGCTGCGCCATCCCAGTCTGAAGTGCCGGTCGGCACAGCCGGCCCGTCAGGTGCTGCGTTTGGGAAGGGGCGTGGCGAGTCTGTTCTGGCGGGCCCGCTCCCTGGCAGGTGCTGAAGCTGCCATAGCCCGCCAGCCGCAGGGCACTGAGGGCCGGCTTCAGGGCTGGAGGCCTGAGCAGACAGTGCAGCCCATTGGGAGGAGCCGGCAGACTGCTGGGCTCAGAGGCAGTAAGCCAGGAATCCTCGGGCCCTGCCCACCAGACTTACTGCTCCCCAAACCCCCAGATGCATGAGACAGGCTCTCCCTCTGCTGACCCTGTAGCTGAGGGAACGAAGCAGGCTCTGGCCCAGCCCCCAGGCCACCTGCCTGAACCCTCCAGTGGGGAAGGAGGGCCTCAGGGAGCTGGGAATGAATGAATGAAGGCCCACTGGTCAGCAGCAGATTTCCGGCTTCACCCCATTGCTGACCAGCGCAAACTGGCGTCCCAGTATCCCGGTGGGCCTCCACACTGCATGCAGCTGGTGGAGAGCCAGCCTCTCACCTTGTTGTTGTTCTAGGAAGATGATGAGAAGCTGATTGAGGAAATCCAGAAGGAAGCCGAAGAGGAACAGAAAAGAAAGAATGGAGGCAAGTGCTTCTCCCCTCCCCCTCCACAGGCCCCACCCAGCACCTCCCCGCAGCTGGCCTCCCGGGGGACCCTGGCCCTCTGCTGGCCAGGGGCCACCCGGGAGTCAGTGTCAGGGGGCTCTAGACACACTGCAGCCCCGTCCTGCTCCTGGGGAAGCCCTGAGCGCCTCGGTACAGCTCCAGCCCCTCCCTGATGGCAGGAAGGACCCCAGGGGCAGGTTTCCGCTTAGGAAGGAAGTAGCGGCCAACCCAGACAGTAGGCGCGCCGGAGGCCACAGAGCAATGCCGTGGCCCTCCTGGGAGTGGCCTGGCTCTAAGGGGAGTTGCTCAGCTCAGCCTGTGTCTCTCCCAAACCCTATCTCCCTCTCAGAGAACACCTTCAAGCGCATCGGGCCCCCGTTGGAGAAGCCTCCAGAGAAAGTCCAGAGGATGGAAGCCCTGCCGAGACCCGTCCCGCAGAACCTGCACCAGCCGCAGTTCCCCGCCTACGCCTTCGTGCACCCCGCCTTCCCGCTGCCGCCCGTCCGGCCCCTGTTCAACAACTTCCCCCTCAACATGGGCCCCATCCCGGCCCCGTACGTGCCGCCTCTGCCCAACGTGCGCGTCAACTACGAGTTTGCCCCCATGCACCTGCCCCTGGAGCCCAACCTGCCCATGCATTTCGGCCCCCAGCCGCGCCATCGCTTCTGACCCCCGAGCCCCAGCCCCGCTGAGCAGCGCGGGCAGGCGGGCTCCCAAAAGCATAGGCTGCTTGTCCCTCCCCTCCTGCAGGGCCACTGGCCCTGGGGGAGTGGCCGGCACGCTCGTTCTTGCTGACCAGAGATGGGGGCGGCCACACCCCTTCCGGAGCCTTCTGCCTCCTCGCAGCTGTGCGGGGGTCCCAGCACAGCAGTACCCTCTGCTCAGTCCGGCCAGGGCCACCGGGAGTTCAGGCCCCGCCCTGCAGAGACCGGGGAAGGTTCGCCTCCATCCCTCGCGCTAGGCAGCAGGCGATCAGTGAGAACCACACAGGCCTTCCTCGCCACAGCCCCGGTGGTGCCGCTTGGGGAGCGTGAGCCGTGTCCCCAGGCCGGGCCGCAGCGCCCCCTTGCCCTGGGCCCCGAGTGAGGCGCTCTGAGCCGCGGGTCCCGTGGAGAGGCCAGAGCAGTGGCCACGCCCAAGAGCACCAGGCCCCCACGTCATGTCCAGGACCCGGGCGCGGCCGTGGTGGCCGTGCTGAGGTCTGTCCTCTCCTCTCGGCCGCTCACATGAGACCAGCGAGCTGCGCTTCTGTCAGTGATTTACCTAAACGTTCCGCTGGCTCACTCGGCAGTTACCAGCTTCCGGGGCCGCGAACTCCTCAGTCTGGGAAGTCAGTCACCCAATCCGCAGCCGGCCGGCCTGACACTGGCCAGATGGAAGCTCCTGGGGGCGGCTGTAACGGGTCTGGTGGCTCCCAGGCAGCAGTTCCCTGGAGCTTCTCTGTCGCCAGCCTGCGCCACAGCTCCTCTGAGACTTGGTGGGGATGGGGGTTTCTCCCATCAAGGTGCTCCCACCATGTGCTCGGCAGGCCCGGCTTCAGGGCTGGAGGCCTGAGCAGACAGTGCTGCCCTATCTTGAGGCTCACTCTGTTCCGTTTGTCCTCACCCCGAGGGGCCAAGCCTGCCTGGCTCCTGTGCTGGCTGTTCCACTGCTGCCTGGGGGTTCCCAGAAGCTCCCAGCGCACCGCAGGCCTGAGAGGAGGGGGAGCAGGCACCCCTCCCTGTCCCTGCTCCAGGCAGGCAGCCGGGCACCTGGGCGTGAGATGGGCCATGAGGACAGGCTGCCAGCCTGGGGCAGTGACGGGACCTGAGAAAGCATGTGCCTGTGCTTTCTCCCCCAAAGGGGGGTCTCAGAACAGTGAGGCCCCACAGACATCCCGCCCAAGGGAAGGGTGGGCCCATGCACTGCCTGGGTGGGTTCATTCCCCTCCGGCCCAGTCGGGCTCTGGCTCCGGGGAGGGCCTGCAGCGGGAGGCATGCACCATCACTGCCATCAGCAAGTCCCCAGGGACTGGTTCCCCCAGGCCAACCTGAGGCCTGTCCCTGGAGAATTCTAGACACCTCAGGGTCTCTGAGGCAGGACCTGGGTCCCGGGCTCCTCAGGAAGCAGTCCTGCTAGTGATGGTGTGGGCAGAGGGGGCCATAATCACCTGACGAGATGCAGGTGACAGGAAACCCCTTTCTGGGGACATCCTCCCCTCTGGGCGGAGTGCTCCCAGAGCCAGAGACTGCCCGGTGCCAGTCCCCTTCCACTTGCCTTAAAACTGGAGAGAGGAATCTAGTATTTGCACTCAGCAAAGGATTTTAAAACCTAAAAGAGCATGACCTGTCACTTTATAAAAATAGCAGAAATGATTACTAAATGTCTTCTTTACTTTCTGGTAGTAAAAACACATAAAATAATCTTGTTTTAACTACTGTGTACAAAGCCTGTATCATATGTACCTTGGACTTTTGTAAATAAACGTTTGTGCACTCTGCTCCCTCTGGCTTTGTTTCTTCCACGGCCCCACTGCTCCCAGGAAACCCCAGGGGTCCCCAGATTCCTGGGGTGAGTGGGCCTAAGCACCGCTCCACAGAGATCCACAGAGATGGCAGGATCTGGTCCCTGAAGCAGCCGCTCCGGGGGAAGCTCTCCCTCCCTCTTCCCCAAAGGGGGGGTCTCAGAGAGGGAAGGGAAGTGGGCCCAGGGTGTTTTGGCACAGAATGTCCTTTGAGAAACCGTGGTCAGCCCCTCCTCCAGGCTGCTGCCGCACATGCTCCCAGGAGAGCCACCTGCAGAAGCTCCGCCCCCACTCCTGAAGGTTGGGGTGGGGGTGGGACTCGGGGTGTCCGGACACCAAGGCTGCAGAGCAGAGCAGAGCGCACCCGGCAGAGAAGCCCAGCGCTGGGCCCTGCCCTGCCGCCCGGCCTCGTCCCTCAGGCACAGCCTCTTCCCCGTGGCCGCCCATCCCAGCACCTCCTATTGGTGCCAGCTCCCACCTGCAGGAATCTGCCCGGGTCCCCGAGGGCATTCTGGGCACAGGTGGACCACAGCACACTCCGGCTCAAACCGAGCTCAAAGCTTTATGAAATGGGGCAGTCCGTCTTCCGCTGGTGGCAACTTTTTATGGAATGGTTTCTTTATTACTGTTATTATTTGGTTTAAGTACAGCGGACCCTTGAGCAGTATGAACCACCACACGGTGGGAAGTCCAAGTCTAACCAGTCGCCCCATCACATCCTGGGTTCCCAGCGCCAGGGGACGGTGGAGCGCGCAGTTCACAGGGGAGGCCTGCATGGCGGTCTTGCAAACTCAGAGACCTAAAGTCACCACAAAGGATGGCCTAAAATTAAACTTTAACTAAACGCAGTTGTGGTGGGTAGTCACCTCCTAGGCCAGTATCTTCCCCTGACAAGCTCACCTTTACCTTAACTGAGCCCATCGGTCTTTTTGCATCTGCTGTAATGTGCCTGTGAAACGTCAGGGGGACTTGTAACTTCCCTTTTTACCGGACCCCTCGGGGCACAACCTAACGCCCTGAGCGCCGGGACCTTTACCACAAATTCCTTCCTGGTCACTGTTACCCACCTCAGTACATAACTATCATTTTACTTTTTATCCACTCCCGGAGGTTTCCTGCTTTGCTTTCTGCAGCCCCTCTAGCCCATCTCCAGTGGATTTCCTGTAACCCGCCTGTCCTCCTTTGGTTGCAATGAAACCCGCCATTCTCCGGAGCACTAAGCCAATCGTTGAGATTGTGCTTCCCGGCAATTGTCGACAGATTGGCTCAAATCAACTCACATTCTTTACCGGTTTGAATGTGTTGACATTAACACGGGGAGCCTGAAACCAAGGTACGTGCCCTTGACCAGAATCGAACCCAGGACCCTTCGGTCCGCAGGCCGATGCTCTAACCACTGGGAACTGGGCTCGGGCTGTGAGATTTCTGCGTGTAGATTGGCCCCAAGTTACTCTGGTTCTGAAGGGCTGCCAGAGAGAAGGGGGGGGGGGGGCACTGAGGTCGGCCTGCCACCTGAGGCTCCCCCCAGAACCACCTAGAGGCGCCGTCACCCCTTCCTCCAGCGGCAGCTGCTCCCGATCAGGAGCTCTGGGAAGGCCCACCGTGTCCACCCTCACGTGTTGCTCTTCAGAGACACAGCGGCCAGTTATAACTGTTAAAACAGGAAAACCTTGGAAACAGAGACGTACAAAGAAAGAGGAGTGCTGCGCTGAGTCAAGGTGACCACGGGCAGTCCTGGTGGGAACCTGGTGTCACCAGAACCAAACGGTAAGGAGCGGGTTTGAGAGGTGGGCGGCCATTGCTCTCGCACTTCTCGCTCTGGCCCCTGGTAAGGATTTGTTTTTAAAGGAACTGCTGATCGGTTTTTTGTGGTTTTGTTACTGATAGTGTTTTAATGCGCCTCCTTCCTGTGTGAGTTTGCCTGGGATTGCACAATACATCTCAGACCTGGGAGGCCAGGTGTGCAGCCTGGTGAGCGGCTGCCCAAGGCATCAGTGGCGAGGTCCCTCCCACCAGCCTCCAGGCGGCGGCCTCCTCCGCCTCCTCCTCATCCTTGTCCTTCTTCAGGGGGCACCTCCTCCAGAGCCCGAACCCTGAATCTGAACCCTGAACCACGTGGGACTTGGGGGACACTCGCACCCCCTCAACCGCGCCTCCCACCCGTAACCGCGCCTCCCCCCTGTAACTGCGCCTCCCCCTCAACCGCGCCTCCCCCCTGTAACTGCGCCTCCCCCCTGTAACTGCGCCTCCCCCTGTACAGGGAGATCAGCCACGTCTCCGGGCTGGAGAATTGGTAGGAAGTGCCGGCCGGAGCCGGGAGATGAGGACGGAGTGAGGGAGAAGCTGCGATTCCCTCAGGCTGGTCCTTAGGGCCTCTCCTCTCCCAGCCGCTCAGCCCTGAGCACCCGCAGGCTGGGGTCCCTCACCACCGCCCCCCGCGGGCGGCTCCTTGGGGACCTGCTTGTCCCCTGACCTGCGGGTGCGTCTGGGCTGCACCAGCCCCACAGGACGGAGTGTGGAAACCATGCCCACGCCCTGGACACGGTGCCCACCTGTCCGCACCCCTGCGCCCGCGCCCCGAGGCGGCTCCCTGGCCGCCTCCTCCCTCAAACCCACAGCCGCCAGCGCGGGAGCCATTTCTGCAGGATTGATGTCAGTACCTGCCTGGGGGTGCAAGGGGCACCCTGGGACACCCCGGGACAGGCCATCCCTGCCCTTGGCACCGCAGGATGTACAAGGGCCCGACAGGGAGCCCACCCCAAACGAACCCCTTCCAGCTGCCTCCCCCCCCCCATCTGGAACGTGCAGCTGTTCCTCCCACGTCACTGGGCCGGCTCTGGCCTCCAGCCCAGCTAACGGCTAACGGGCGGGCTGGCCGCCAGGACCCGGCTGGAGGCCCCGCATCCCTTTGTGCCCCATCTGCTCCTGTCACTCCGACTCCCCCGGGGCCGCCAATCACAGCGCAGGCATCTCCGTTCCGTCATCAGCAGCCAATCAGCGCTCCCGCAGCGAGGTGGGGACCAGGGGCTCCAGGCTGGCGGAGGCCCAAGTGTCCCCCCCCATTTGCCCCCTCTCCCCCAAGTCCCTGTCCCTCATTTACCGCCTTACCCGTCACGCCGTTGCACAGAGGGCTGTCCTGCCGCTCTGGCCTCGGCAGGCCGGGAGCCCAGCACCCACCGAGGGTGCCCTGGCCTAAATGCAGGGCCAGCCCAGGGCCCTCTGCCCGAGGCCCCGCTGCTGGCCACGTGGCCCGTGGGCTCAGGACCCAGGTCTCCCCCGGCAGCGGGAACTGCCGCCTCCCTCCACCCGCAGCCGGGGTCCTGCTGCCATGAGGGACCACCCTGGCCTGAGCTTGGCCCAGGGCCCACGGCTCCGGGCCTGTGCGCAGACAGCCGCTGGAGGGGCCGGAGCCGGGGCCAGCCCTGCGGGTTCCCGGCAAGGCCGGCTGCCTGGGCAGGTGCGCTCACCTGTTCGCTGTTGGCCGGATGGCCGCCTCCTAACCACGCAGGCACAGCCACGTGGAGGCACAGCCTCCTGCCAGGCCCCAGGCGGCGGGACACTGAGGAACAGAGTCAGCGCCTCTCCCGGGGGGAGCCCAGTGCCCGATTCGGACCATCCCTCTGCAGGGCCTCCTGTCCCCGGAGGTGTCCTGGCTACGCAGCCCCTGGGCCCGGGGCCGCTCCAGCTGCTCTCGTCCCCACACACACAGGCTGCCTGGCATTGGTTTTGCGTTACTTTATTTTGCTCTTTCCAGTCTGAAGCTACTATCATGGGCATTTAGTTATACAAATGACACTTACAAAAAATAAAAGACCGAGACCCCCGGAGTGAGATGCATGGCGGACAGGGGGTCGGGGGCTGGCAGGGGTGCGGCTGGGGGCCAGGGGTCAGGGCTGGGTGTCTCCTCACAGGAGGGTGACACCGGCTTCGTCCCACCCGAGACCCAGGAGCCAGTCAGACAGGAGCACCAATCCGCCGGCTGGAGGCTCTGGCTGGGCGGGCAGGGGCGGGGAGCGCCCCTGGGAGGTGGGGGCAGGTTCTGGGCTTGGGAGGTGCCTTCCCTGCCCGACCACCAGGGAGCAGGGGCACGAGGCCCGGAGCTGCTGCCCGAGGCTCGCCTGCACCACCTCCAACAATGACATTTCATTAAAAAAACAAAATACTGATTTGGTCATTTTCTGCTTCCAGTTAGCCAGGGAGACAGGAGCGGGCCGGCGCGCAGGGGCACAGGGCGGGCCTGCTCCGGCGGCAGGGACAGAGACGGGCACCGCAGGCGCTCCTCCTGGTGCAGGGCTGGTGCCCCAGGGGCCACCGAAGGGCTTGGGCCAGGGCCCGGCTGCTGGGAAGTTGGGGGGAACCTGGGCTGGGGGGCGGGGCAGGAGATTCCAGTTAAACCCCCCCCACCCCCAGGCTTGAGCCCCCACTCCTCAGCTGCTTTGGGGAAATAAGGCTCAGAGTTGTCTGAGGTCAGAAGAGGTGCCAGCCTCGCCCACGGCAGAGAGAGGGCGGGGGTCCCGGGCCCGCTAAGGCCAGGCCACAGGGCTGACCCCGGGAGAGGCCACGGGGGGACGCCATCGTCTCCGGTTCCAGTAGGAGAGCCAGGGGCTGCCCCCCTGGGCGCTGCCGCCTGGAGAGGAATTAGCTGGGGGGGAGGGGGCGCGGAAGGGGGGCGGGGGCGGGGGGCAGGGGCGGGCTAGTACTCCCACAGCGTGGAGGGGTCGATGGTCTCCGCGCAGGCCTTCAGCACCCCGGCGTGGTCCCCCTTCAGGTAGCGGCCGCCCACCTTGATGGCCACCTTGTTGTAGTCGCAGAACTCGAAGAAGAAGTCCACGGGGCTGTCGCTGCTGCTGGTGACCAGCGAGTCGCTGCCCAGCGTCCAGTACTTGCCTGTGGAGTCTGGGGGGAGGGCCGAGGCCCCGTCAGGCCTGTTCTGTCCCCCCTGCACTGTCCACTTCCTCCAAGCCTCCACCTGCCCATCCCGCTGTTCCCCCAGCCCCCCCCCACGGTTTTGGTCCCAGAGCCTGGGGGGGGGATGCATCCTCCTCTCCGGGACCCCTTCCTCCTGCTCCAGCCAGCCTGGGGGGCTGGAAAGTCTCCCTCCGATCGGAGCCACTGGTGGCCTCGGGACACCCGCCCTCTGGGGCTCGGAATGGCCCAGACCACGTCACAGGGCGGCCAGGCCGAGCGCCAGGACGGGGGAGACGCTCCTGGCCGGACCCTGGGCGCCCCGCCCCCGGAGGACCTGCCTTTGATGTTGTAGGCGCCGTCGTTGAACTCGAGCTGGAAGACGTCGTAGTTGGAGCGGTTGGCGTCCAGCGTGCCCGTGACCTTGCGGCAGCCGATGAAGCCGTGCTCCCCGCGGAACACGATGATGGGCCGGTTGATCAGCTTCATGAGGAAGAGCTCAGTGTCCCCTGGGCGGGAGGGAGGGGTGACTCGGTGTGTGTGTGTCTGTATGAAGGTGTGTGTGTGTGTGTGTGTGTGTGTGTGTGTGTGTGTGGGGGGGGCTGTGGCTGTGAGTGGGGGGGGCTGTGAGTGTGTGTGGGGGTGTGTGGGTGTGAGTGTGTGTGTGAGAGGGTGCGTGTGAGTGTGGGGGGGTGGGGGAGGGTGTGTGTGTCTGTGTGTGTGAGTGTGTCTGTGTGTGTCTGTGTCTGTCTGTGTGTGTGTATGTGTGTGAGTGTGTGTGTGTGTCTGTGAGTGTGTGTGTGTCTGTGTCTGTCTGTGTGTGTGTGTATGTGTGTGAGTGTGTGTGTGTCTGTGTGTGTGAGTGTGTGTCTGTGTGTGTGTGTGTGTGTGTGTCTGTATCTCTGTGTGTGAGTGTGTGTGTGTCTGTGTGTGTGTGTGTGTGTCTGTGTGTGTGTGTGTGTGTCTGTGTGTGCGTGTGTGTGTGAGTGTGTCTGTCTGTGTGTGTGAGTGTGTGTGGGTTTGTGTGTCTGTATGTGTGTGTGTCTGAGTGTGTGTGTGTGTGTGTGAGTGTGTGTGTGGGTGTGTGTGGATATCTGTGTGTGGCTGGGACCAGAGAGCAGGAGCCCGGGGTCGCCCTGCAGCCCGCCCTGGGACAGTGTGGGGGACGCCCAGCACAGGGCGGGCTGGGGTGCCGGTGACACGGGGTACCCCGCAGGGCGGGGGGGCCTCAGCTACCTGCGGTCTCCACCGAGGCGGCCAGCTGCCCGTTCTTCTTGGCCGTCAGGAACTTGCCGTTGGCCGCGCGCAGTGTGATCCGCCGATCGCGCCACTCGATGTCGAAGTAGCAGCTGGCGCTCCTGGGGGAGGGGAGGGGAAGGCGCGCTCAGGGCGCCGGCCGGTCCCGGGGTCCCGGAAGGGCCGCGGGGCTGGCGACGGGCACTTACTTGGTGGAGGCGGTGGACTGCACGCCCCCGGCGGCCGTCAGCGTCCAGTACTTGCCCGTGTGCGTGCGGAAGGCGCACTTTTTGGTGTCGCGATCGATCTCCAGCTGGAAGGTCTCCTGGTCGGTCTCTTCGTCCTGATTGGCCGACAGGTCCATGCCTGGGGGAGAGCCTCCAGCTGGTACCCACGCCTGCCCTTCTCCCGCCAGTGCAGGGGGGGCCGGGGGGGCGGGCAGAGGGCAGCGTCGGGCCGGCCAGGAGCAAGCCTGTCCCTGTCACTTTGATGACAGAACCAACACCTTCCAGCAAACCAACCGCAGAAAGACATCCCGGAGCCGATGGGACCTCACGAGGCCTCAGCGAGATACCGAGGGTTAATCCTTGTTCATCGGGTGGTTACGTAAGGGCCTCATTTCACAAACATTTCGAGATGAAAGGCCATGATGCCAGGATTTGCTTTAAAAACAACCAACCACCATGGCGACGCAGGCAGAGGACAGAGGACAGGGGACAGAGGGCAGAGGGACGGGACAGGGGACAGAGGGCAGGGGACAGATGGACAGAGGGACGGGACAGGGGACAGAGGGCAGAGGGACAGGGGACAGAGGACAGAGGGCAGAGGACAGGGGACAGAGGGCAGGGGACAGAGGGCAGGGGACAGAGGGACAGGGGACAGGGGACAGAGGGCAGGGGACAGGGGACAGAGGGCAGGGGACAGAGGGCAGGGGACAGAGGGACAGGGGACAGAGGGCAGAGGACAGGGGACAGAGGGCAGGGGACAGAGGGCAGGGGACAGGGGACAGATGGACAGAGGGACAGGGGACAGAGGACAGGGGACAGATGGACAGAGGGACAGGGGACAGAGGGCAGAGGGACAGGGGACAGAGGGACAGGGGACAGAGGGACAGGGGACAGAGGACAGAGGGCAGAGGACAGATGGACAGAGGGACAGGGGACAGAGGGCAGAGGGACAGGGGGCAGGGGACAGAGGGCAGAGGACAGGGGACAGAGGGACAGGGGACAGAGGGACAGGGGACAGGGGACAGAGGGCAGGGGACAGAGGGCAGGGGACAGGGGACAGGGGACAGAGGACAGGGGACAGAGGGCAGGGGACAGGGGACAGAGGGCAGGGGACAGGGGACAGAGGACAGAGGGCAGAGGACAGATGGACAGAGGGACAGGGGACAGAGGACAGAGGGCAGGGGACAGAGGGCAGAGGGACAGGGGGCAGGGGATAGAGGGCAGAGGACAGGGGACAGAGGGACAGGGGACAGAGGGCAGGGGACAGAGGGACAGGGGATAGGGGACAGAGGGCAGGGGACAGAGGGCAGGGGACAGGGGACAGAGGACAGGGGACAGAGGGCAGGGGACAGGGGACAGAGGGCAGGGGACAGGGGACAGAGGACAGAGGGCAGAGGACAGATGGACAGAGGGACAGGGGACAGAGGACAGAGGGCAGGGGACAGAGGGCAGGGGACAGGGGACAGAGGGCAGGGGACAGGGGACAGAGGACAGGGGACAGAGGGCAGGGGACAGAGGACAGAGGGACAGGGGACAGAGGGCAGGGGACAGAGGGCGGGGGACAGAGGACAGGGGACAGGGGACAGATGGACAGAGGGACAGGGGACAGAGGACAGAGGGCAGATGGACAGAGGGACAGGGGACAGAGGGCAGGGGGCAGGGGACAGAGGGCAGGGGACAGGGGACAGATGGACGGGACAGAGGGCAGGGGACAGATGGACAGAGGGACAGGGGACAGAGGGACAGGGGACAGATGGACAGAGGGACAGGGGACAGGGGACAGAGGGAGGAGGGAGGAGGGGCAGTGCCCCTCCAGGGGGCCGGGGCCTGGCCACGCCCTCCTTCCCGCCTCGGAGAGCCGGGTGAAGCCTGAGGCTGGCTCTCAGGGCGTTGGGAGCTCACACACAGTAAACAGGAAGCCACCCATCCTCCCTGCGGACCCCGGAGCCCCACGTCTCAGGCTCGCATGTGAACTGCTCCCAACAGACACAGGCGCCTGCCCTTGGGCCTGGAGCCTCTAGAAGGCGGGGCCACGGTGACGGGCGTCAGGTGTCCCTTCCGGTGGGGAGCCTGGGTCTGAGCACCCTCCGGGGCCCACCCTCCGCTCTCCCACTCTTACCCCAGGACAGGTCCCCACAATAGCACCAACGCCTGGGGGCCTTCACCCCCACTTCACAAGAGGGAGACTGAGGCAGGGAGGTGGTGTCCTTGACCAAGGTCACCCAGAGAGAAAGCACTACCAGGCCCTCCGCCCTCCGCTCTATGGATGGGAAAGGGGGGGCACACTTGGCTCGGACCTCGGAATGGCCACTGTGTCCTGCCTCCCCTCCCAGAGGAACAAAGGGGCTCCCTGCACAGTCCACGCCCGGGGCCACGCCCGCCACCTGCTCCCCACGCACACCCACCCGGGCCTCGGGGACCCCTGCCCCTCCGCCCGGCAGGCCCCTCCATTCTCCCGGAGGCTGGGGGTCTGGGCCCGGTGCCACGCAGACAACAGGAAGGGGGGAAGGGGGTAGGCCTCCCTGGGATCCAGCTCCGCCCTTCCCGCTCAAGGCCAGGCCCAGACAGGGAGGCCCCTCTTGGCCTTGCAGCCTCTAATTGGAGCTGGGTTACCATGGAAACAGGGTTTTCTTTGGGATTTTTCTTTACATCAACAGCTGCATAGAAAGCCTGAGTCATAGGCCAGAGGAGCCCGGAGGCCGGGTACTGGGTATGGGGAGGGGGAAGGGCTCCATGGAGCCCTTGGGCACACCCACCCTCCCTCCAGAGCCCAGACACCTGGATCCCCACCCCCTTCAGCCTCAGCAACTCCCAGGAGCTCCCCCAACCCTCACTCGGTTCAGGGGAGGCGTTTGGAAGCATCCTGGCCGGTGCCCCTCCCCCTCCCCGCTTCTCTTTCCAGTCCCTCTTGCCAACACCTGAGCACTCCAATGCCTCCCCACCCTGGCCTCAGCTATTCCCGGGCCTGCTGTGCCCGCCTCCTGAGAACTCCTCTACATCCTGCAAAGCCCAGGCGGCCCAGCCCTCCCCCGCCAGCCCGCCCGGCCTCTGGGGCTGGACCGGGAGCTTCCTCAGTGCGGCGCCCCTGGGAGGTGAGGCACTGCCCAGGCCTGGGCCGGAGCCAGGGAACAGTGCCCTCACCATCCTTCCCCGTCCACGCCGGGTCCTCACCTGTGAGCACAGCCACCCCTCCCGGGCCCTGGGACAGGCACGTGCCACGTGCCACGCTCATCAGCGCTGGGCACCAGGCCCATGGCCTCCCCCCAGAAATAAAGGCTGGCTGAGAATGTGCTCGGGGAGCCTGGAGCCAGCCCTACAGGTGGGGAAACCGAGGCAGGAGAGCAGCCCACTCCACCCCCGCCAGGCAGCGGGAGGCCTGCGGATGATTCCCGTCCCTCAGCCACCAGCCCCATCCTCCTCCTGCCTGGCTGCCTCTCCCCGGGTGCTGGGCGCTGTCTCTGCCACGCAGGCTGGGCCAAACTGGCCCCCGCGGACACCCCCACACCCCCGATGCCAACCTGGGTCCTTCCGTCCTCCTCACCCACCAGAGACCCAGGGTCAGCCACTGTGAGAGCCCAGGGCCCCTCCCCCATTCCCTGTTCCCCTAAACTCAGATGAGGCCCCCTCTCCGCCCAAGTGCTGGTGCTCCTGCCCCCTCAGCCTGGATCACCATGACCCCCAGCTTCGCCGGAGCCCCGCACCTGTCCGGCGGGCCTGGCTGCTCCGAGCTCAGCGGCTTCCCTGCCCCGGGCCTTTGCACAGGGCCTGCGCCCCGCCCGCCGCCTGAGCGGCCTCCCCGCGCTCGGCCAGCCCCCCATGACCTGGAGGCTGACTCCCGCCCTGGCCCCGGGGCGCGGGCCGGTCCCAGGGAGAGCACCCCCCGGGGAACCGTCCAGAACTGCCCCCTGGCTCCCCACTCAGGCCTCCGCGTCTCTCGTGTCAGCTTGTGGTCTGAGCAAGTGGGGAGCCCGGTGCCCGGGGCAGTGAGGACGGGGCGCCACGTGTGCCAGGGGCGGGAGGCCGCAGGGGGCAGATCGGAGCCGCTCCGGGTCAGGAAGACCCGGTTCTGCCGAGCTCCCGGCTGTGGGTGGCGGCCTCACCTCTCCGGCCTAAGCCCCCCTGGGGAGGCAGGAGAGGCCCGGGGGCCCCGCTGCCTCCGGAGGCTGGGCCTCTGCCGCCGGGAATCACGGCCTCCCTCACCGAGGGGGCAGGAGGAGGGGGCCTGGGGGAAGGGGGGCCTCTGGCTCGGCGCGGGCAGGTGGGCGGGAGGCCGGGGCGGCGGGGCGGGGGCCTGGCGGAGGAGGGGGTCCGGCCCCGCCTGAGCCCCGGGGTTTGGGGTTTGGGGGCGCGGGGCGGGGGCCTGGCGGAGGAGGGGGTCCGGCCCCGGCCTGAGCCCCGGGGTTTGGGGTTTGGGGGCGCGGGGCGGGGGCCTGGCGGAGGAGGGGGTCCGGCCCCGCCTGAGCCCCGGGGTTTGGGGTTTGGGGGGCGCGGGGCGGGGCCTGGCGGAGGAGGGGGTCCGGCCCCGCCTGAGCCCCGGGGTTTGGGGTTTGGGGGCGCGGGGCGGGGCCTGGCGGAGGAGGGGGTCCGGCCCCGCCTGAGCCCCGGGGTTTGGGGTTTGGGGTTGCGGGGCGGGGGCCTGGCGGAGGAGGGGTCCGGCCCCGCCTGAGCCCCGGGGTTTGGGGTTTGGGGTTGCGGGGCGGGGGCCTGGCGGAGGAGGGGGTCCGGCCCCGCCTGAGCCCCGGGGTTTGGGGTTTGGGGGGCGCGGGGCGGGGCCTGGCGGAGGAGGGGGTCCGGCCCCGCCTGAGCCCCGGGGTTTGGGGTTTGGGGGGCGCGGGGCGGGGGCCTGGCGGAGGAGGGGTCCGGCCCCGCCTGAGCCCGGGTTTGGGGGCGCCCTCCGCAGGGGCCCGCGGAGCAGGCCGCCCCTCCCCCGGCGCATCTGGATTCCCTCCCGGAGCCGCGGACAAAGGGGGGAGGGGAGGGCAGGGCCGGAGGGGCGGCCCGGGCACAAAGGCCGCGGCCCCGGAGGGGCGGGGGCGGGCGGGCGCTCCCCGCCGGGATCAGAGCCTCCAGGTCCCCCGCGCCAGGCGGCCTGGGGGCGGGGGCGCCGCGGGCGGCGACGACCCCCTCCTCCGCCCTCGAGGCCAAAGGTCCCCTCCCCGAGGCGGGGCCCACCGACCCCGGGGCCCGCGCGCGTGGGGGGCCCCGATTGGGCCGAGGGTCGGAGCCCGGGCGGCGCCGGGAGGGGCCGGGGACGGGGTGGGCGGCGGCGCCCGAAGCCGCAGAGCCCCGCCCGCCCCCTCCGGCCCGAGCGCGTCCCGGGGCGGAGGCGGCGCTGGGCGCCGGGCGGGGGCGCACCGGGCGGAAAGGGCGGGAGACCCGGGGGCCCGGTGGATGCGCTTTGTGCGGACTGGGAGGATGGAGGGGGATGGGGAGGATGGAGGGGGATCGGGGAGGATGGAGGGGGATGGGAGGATGGAGGGGGATCGGGGAGGGACGGGGAGGATGGAGGGGGATGGGAGGATGGAGGGGGATCGGGGAGGATGGAGGGGGATGGGGAGGACGGGGGGATGGTGAGGACGGGAAGGGGGATGGAGGGGACGGGAGGACGGGGGGCACCCCCACTCACCCTGCCGCGTGGACACGTTGCGCTCGTTGGCCGCCTGCAGCACCACCTGGGCGCAGCTCTGCTCCAGCGCGAACAGCTCGTCCTTGCCCGCCTTGGTGGCCTTGCCCGCCTTGAGCGTGCCGCTGGGCCCCGACGGCGCCAGGTAGCGGCCCTCGCAGTCGCGGAAGGCCACCCGGCCGGCGCGGAACTCCAGCGTGAAGGCCGTGCCCGGCTCGGGCCGCGCCACCAGGCGGCCGTCGTGGCGCAGCAGGCGGTGGTCGGCCGTCTGCAGGCTGTAGCGCTGGTCCTGGAAGGCCAGCGTGACCAGCGAGTCGACGCCCCACGGCACGTCGCGGTCCACGGCGAGCTCGTCGGCCGGCCGCGCGCGGAGGTGCGCGTAGCGCTTGCGGGCCAGGCTGAAGAGCGTGACCTGCGGGTGCATGGCGATGTGCACGCTCCACTTCTCGGCCGGCGACACGCTCTGCGCGAAGCACGACAGGCGGTCCTCCGTGCCGCCGAAGAAGCGGCGGTGCGCCTCGCTCTGCAGCGACCAGCGGCCGTCGTCGTGCGCCAGCAGCAGGAAGCGGCAGTCGGCGCCCGGCGCCTCGCGCTCGCAGCTCACGTTGCCGTCCTTGTCGGCCGCCAGGTAGCGGCCCAGGTGGCTGCGCAGGCACACGGCCGCGCCCGCCTCGTCGGGCGGCTGCTCCAGCGTCCAGATCTGCTTCTTCTTCAGGCTGCTGGCCGACGCGTTCACCTTGAAGCCGAACGCCTCGGCCGTCAGGTACTTGTTGCCGCAGTTGATGAGGCCGAACTGGATCTGCAGCGGCTCGGCCGCGCCGTTGGCGGCCATGGCGGCGGGTGCGGGGCCCGGAGGGTGCGGGGCCCGGGGCGGTGCGGGTCCCGGCGGCGGGGCGCCCGGCTCCTTTGTTCCCGACCGTCCGCGGTGCGCGCCGCAGCGCCGCACAAAGCCGCCCGCCCGCCTTATAGGCTGACGTCACGGCCCGCCCCCCGCGGAGGGGGAGGAGGGGGAGGGGGCTCGGCGGCGGCCCCGCCTCCCGCCCGGGCCCGCAGCCCCGCCCCCCGCGCCGGCCCCCCGCCCAGACCCCGGAGCCCAGACCCGGAGCCCAGACCCCGCAGCCCAGACCCCGCAGCCCAGACCCCGCAGCCCAGACCCCGCAGCCCAGACCCCGCAGCCCAGACCCGGAGCCCGACCCCCGCAGCCCAGACCCCGGAGCCCAGACCCGGAGCCCAGACCCCGCAGCCCAGACCCCGCAGCCCAGACCCCGCAGCCCAGACCCGGAGCCCGACCCCCGCAGCCCAGACCCCGGAGCCCAGACCCCGGAGCCCGACCCCCGCAGCCCAGACCCCGGAGCCCAGACCCCGGAGCCCAGACCCGGAGCCCAGACCCCGGAGCCCGACCCCCGCAGCCCAGACCCCGGAGCCCAGACCCCGGAGCCCAGACCCCGAGCCCAGACCCCGGAGCCCGACCCCCGCAGCCCAGACCCCGGAGCCCGACCCCCGCAGCCCAGACCCCGGAGCCCAGACCCGGAGCCCAGACCCCGGAGCCCCCGCCCGCGGAGGGAGCGCGGGGCTGGGCTGCGGGGGGACGCGGGGCGGCGGGGCGGCCTGAGCGCAGAGCCTGCGGAGCCGCCAGAAGCCCCCTCCCCCCGGGGCCTGGGCGGCGGGCGGAGGGCGGGCAGCCCGGGCGGGTCTGCAGACCCCAGCGCTCCCGCCCGCGCCTCGCAGCCCGGCCCTGCGGCGGAGGGGCCGGGGCAGGGTGAAGGGTGCGGAGGAGCCGGGGCAGGGTGAAGGGTGCGGAGGGGCCGGGAGGGGCCGGGGCAGGGTGAAGGGTGCGGAGGGGCCGGGGCAGGGTGAAGGGTGCGGAGGGGCGGGGAGGGGCCGGGGTGGAGGGCGGCGGAGGGGCCGGATGGGGTTTCCCTTATGCCCCCTCCCAGGACCCCGCCGTGAAGACCAGCTCCCAGGGCCGCCCCGCCCAGCCGGCTGCCCCCTGGTCTCCGGGCAGAGCCTCGGGCGGTGGGTGAGCAGTGAAGTGAGCCCAGGGCCGCCTCTGGGCCAGGGTGCCCTCCGCTTTGTACCCGACACCCCAGGTCAGAGGACGCCGAGCCAGCGCAGGGCGGGTGGCACCCTCATCCTTCAGGCCCCCAACTCCCCACCCTCAGGGGCACCCCCTGCAGCGGAACCCCCTGTGCTGCCCGGGGCACTTCCCCTTCCCGGGCCTCTCCGAAGGCAAGGCCTTGGCTGGGACATTCCCCGCGTGCCAGGCCGGCCCCTGGAATGCCAGCACGACCACAGGCTGCCCACAGGCTGCCCACGCGGTCTCCGGGCGAAAGCAGGGCACTGCCCGGCTCCCCAGCTGGTCCCCGGGGCCTGTGCCGCCCCTGGCATCCCCTCCGGGGGAGTTTCTCCTCCAGGGAAGCAGGAGTGACCTCACCTCTGTGGGTTTACTGGCAGCGCCAGGGGCTGAGGTTGGCACACCCATAGCACCCTCCCACAGAGCACACCCTCCCGAGCCCGAAAGCATGGGCTCGGTTTGAGGCTTGAAGCTAGGATCTCACTGGCTGTGTGACTTTGGCAAGTTACTTAACCTCTCTGAGCCTCCGTTTCTCCTTTTTGTAGAAGATATAAATCCCCCACCCAGGGGGCCAGAGCGTCCCTGGGGCCTCTCAGAGCGGTCTCCGACCTCTCAGCGCCCAGGAAGACCGGACATCCGGCCGCTACCGGACTCAGAGTGAGGGGCTGGGTGAGAGCAGGCGTTCGGGGACGGCTGTGGGTGCCAGACTGGGGTTGGGACATGGCCGGAGGGTGCCGAGAGCGGATTGTTCCGAATAGACAATGTGGAGTTTAAAGATCCAAGAATGTAAAGGGCCTTCATGCCCCTCCCGCCCCCCCCCCCCCACTGCCCGGGGACCTGCTGTCACACTTGTTTTCTGTGTTTTCCTCTGTACACGACACAAGCAAGTGTGGTCTGTTTCTTGTTCTTAGTTTTCTTCTCTCCGTTGTAAGCAGTGTTTTCAGCCTGCTTTTGTCATCTGAGGTGTCTGAGCCTCCGTTTCTCTTTTTTGTAGAAGGTTTTTCTTAGCCGTTTTTCTCACGGAAGCGGCTGCCTGTTCTTTTCACGGCCGCGTAGCATTCCACTGCCTGGCGCACAGGGTCCTGTGCCTGCCGTGTGCACTGGCACTGGGCTATGTCCTGCCGTGGCCGGCACAGCCCGCCCCCAGCAGGGAAACCCCAACCGCAAGCCAACGCTGTGTGTGCGTGTCTCCGCCCAGCCGCGGCCCATACGCCATGGAAAGCATGGTGTCCAGTCCCGGCGTGCGGGCCTCTGGGGATGGGGGGCGCTGTTCTTCGTTCGTGGCAATTACGTGCCAAGGACTCGGCTCCCATCCTTGGCTTCTGTGCCAGGGCCACCTGGGGATTTCACGCCGGACAGCCCTGCTCGGCGGTGGGCACGGGATTCTCCGAGGCGGCCGGCTGGAGGGGGGACCGGTCTCCAGGCTCGGGAGACTGGGCTCCGAGCTGGCTCATGGGCCCTCCCGGTGGCCTCGTTTCCCTCCAGCCCGGCAGGGCCGCCAGTGGCCAGTCCCCGCCTGCCCCGGTGCCAGGGCGGCTCAGGTGGTGGCTCCTGTGGGGCGGGAACAAAGGCGTCCTGTTCCCCGCTCCCCAGAGGGACCGGGCGGGGCCTGCCAGGCCGGGTGACCTCGCCCGACACGGAAGTGTCCAGTGTCACGGAGACTCGGAAGCCGGGGAGGGAGCCCGGGTGGTGCAGAGCAGGCAGAGTTTCCTGATTGATTGATTGATTGATTGACCGCCACATAGCGATATCGATAGGCACTGAGATGGAGAAAGGTGTCACTCTGTTTCTGGAGATTTTTGTTGTTTCTTCGGTTTTGGCTTCCGTGTTTCTGCTGCATCTTGCCTCGGGATGCGTCCCAGCGAGCTGTCACCGCGGCGACTTCCGCCCGGCCCTTCCGCCCAGCCCCGCAGGAGGCTTCCGCTGTGCTCCCAGCCTGGCCCCAGGCGAGGGCTGCCTGCCAGAGGGGGCCTCTGGCCTGGGCCCCTCCTGGCAGGAATCTCCCAGCCCGGAGACCGGAGACCTGGGCATCCCTCAGAGGCCTGGCCGGAGCACCTCCTCGTCCGCTCCGAGCCTCAGTTTCCCTTTTCTGCAACGGAGACAAGTGTGGCCCAGGCGTGGGTGCGGGGCCCGGGCGCCGGCCCGTCCCAGCGGCTCCGACCCCCTAACGAGGCCCTGGGCCCGGCAGTGAATGGCTCTTGTGTTCTCGCTGCCTCCGCGGTGCCCACGGTGTGGCCTGGTACGGCTGTGCCCCCGCGGGAGCCCAGGGCGGGTCCTGGCAGGCCGGCTCCCGCTGCCCGCAGGCCCCCAGCTGTGCCATCCAGGCCGCACCATCACCGTCTCTGCAGAGGCCCCCAGGGGGGCTGTTGTCTGGGGGGGGGGGACCCAGAGTTACCACAGGCTCCAGGAGGGACCCCAGGAGGAGGGATTCGCTGCTGAGGAGCAGGAGCTGAGGGGGCCGGGGCGGCTGTGCTGGTCCTGGAACCCTGACCCAGCAGCCCTTTCCCTGGCTTCCTCCGGACAGCGACGCCGGGGGCCTGAGGGGCCTCTGCGAGCAGCTCCGCGCCCCGGCCGCCTCCGGCCCCGGCACAGAGGCCCGTCCCCTCCGCGCCCCGGCCGCCCTCCGGCCCCGGCACGGAGGCCCGTCCCCTCCGAGGCCCCGGCCGCCCTCCGGCCTCGGCCAAGGCCCCGTCCCCTCCGAGGCCCCGGCCGCCTCCGGCCCCGGCCAAGGCCCCGGCCCGCTCTGCATGGAGCCACACGGCAGGTGCCTGGCAAGCGCCCGGCTAATTAAGAGGACATTAGCACCCGCAGCGCCCCGGCCGGCCAACATGTCCCTGCCAGGAGCAGGCCGATCGCGGGCCGGGCAGACTGCCGGCTGGTGCCAGGCTCAGCCTCCCCTACCGGCCGCCACCCCTCGGCTGCCACCCCCACCCCTGCACCAGGCGCCCCACCGGCCCCGGGAAACCTCAGCAGCAAGGCGGCCGAACCTCACCTCCGCTGTCAGCTGTCAGATGGGAGGTCACCTTCCCCAGGCCCTCAGCTCAGGCTCAGCTGTGCCATCAAGAGCCGCTCTTCCCAGCTGGCGGGCTCTGTGTCTGTGAACGCCCCCCCCCCCCCCCAGGAGCCGCTTCCACCACCCTCAGGCTCCATCCCGCCCCCCGCCCCCCAGGCAGCCAGGCTTCCTCCCTGCAGGTCTGGTCCTGCTCCCTCAGCTTAACCCTGTCCCTGCCCCGCCCCAGGGCCCAGGGCCCAGGGCCTCCCACCTCCGCCGCTCCGCCCTGCACTCCCTCACCCCCATCCACTGGGCGGCGCTGCCCGGCCCCGTGCCCTGCAGCTGCCAGCCCTGCTGGTCCTAAGGGTGGGCAGGCTCCCGCTCCTCCCTGGAGCCCGCGGAGGGCAGTGTTGGTGCTTTTGACCCAGGACTAGGGGTCCCAGGGGTCAGGGCAGGCATATGGCCCAGTACAACTTTTTACAATGATGGAATGTTCTGGAATCTGCTCCGTCCAATACGAGAGCCTCCAGGCACACCCCTGGCCACTGAGCATTGGAAAGGTGGCTTGTGTGACCGAGGAGCTGAACTTCCATTTGACTTCACCGGGAATAACTGAGATGGCAAAGCCACGCGTGATGAGTGCCACCCCTCCTGGGCAGCACGGTCTGGGCGCACCGGGCCTGCCACAGCCCCGGGGCCGGAGGGAGGGCCAGCACCCCAGCAACTAGTACTGACTTCGCTCTTTGCCCTCCTGCCGCCCCAGTGGGCGGGCTGTGTGTGCCCCTGGGCCAGGCTGTGGCCGCAGTCAGACCAGTGGAGGCAGAGAGGGGCGCCGAGGCCGGGGCCAGGCCTTCCCGCCCCTGCCTCCGGGTGTCCTGGTTCCATCC